AGAGCCGACAAAGTATATACCACCACCAGTAATTTTAACCACATATTTCTTATGACCTACAACTTTTCAATCATAAATTTCATCAACATTTATTAAAATTTACCAAAAATCTTATTTTAATCGACAACTTATAGGGGAGAGTTAATGGAGGTTCAAGTCTTTCTGAATCTGCAAGAACACAAAAGTAAAATCCCAACAAGACATGTTTTAAGAAATGACAAGAAAATGTGGAGTAGTGTTCTGAATTTTCTAGATTTCCATCACTGTCCAAACCCTACATGGATAGTTTGTCTCCCTTAAACAATGTCCACAAAAATCAGTAGATCTGCTCAGTAATAATATACTGTAAAAATGGAGTTTTACCATTTCATGTAGCCTGTCGGTCTTCTACCTCTTTCGTATAGTAAAAAATTTAAAATGTTTTTTCTGTGTTAATAATGGTAGATACATTTATGAGCTATGTTACGCCTCGCCACCAAGATTCAAAGTCAAAGTGCCACATAACAATCCACGTGGGTAGATAATCAACATAAAAGTCAACAAAGACCCAAGTGGTAAAAATGCAAAAAAATTATGCAAACTACAAAAACTCGTACTAAGGCACTGCCCCAATTATTGAAGCACTACACTTGGACTGAAACACTACCTAAAGAAATGAAGAAAGGAGAGCTTAAACTCTCCACTCAGAGAACTAGATCTGAGGCTCTCAATTCATATGAAACTCATAAACCGGCGCTGTCTCTTACAATATATTTTGAGTGTCTTTTAAAAATGATTGATGTAACACTTATAATAAAGGATGTCAAGGTGTCAGCCTATTATATAGGACGATTGACCATTTATCAATGTATTAATTGTATGAATAGATAATAATGTGAAGCCTCAACTAAGGAGATGAGGTCACGTGGTTCTGATCCAACGGACACCATATCGGATAAGGCAGTATAAATAAATCCTTTCTGTAACTTAGAAGGGGTTGGGGGGGAATTGGAATTGAAATTGAGATTTAGAAGGGGTTGGGGGAATTGGAATTGGAATTGAGATTCTTATTTTCATATCTTGAACTCTCAAATATGGAATGAACAAGAAATATTTACAAACACTTCTATGAGCATTTTCATCTTTCATTACACACTTGGTAGATGAATATCTTAATAGACGATCTCACAATCTACATACGCGATTGTTTTCTATCTTTCCACATATTCTAGTGAGATCTTTGGTTAGTGGATTTTGTTCTCGATTGGTGATTATTGATAGCGTGATCATTTTTGTTTCACCCGTCAAAACTCGAACATCTTTGTCTCTCGTCGTAAAGCACCTCTCACGTTCAAATCTACCTCCTTTCTCACCATTTCTCTGGTAGAAACGTGCCGAAATTTGCTTGACATGGCGAGAGTGGACCCGTCATCTGTTGGCTCATTTTTCGAGGTCAACAAGCTATATTCACAATTGACATCTACGAATTTACGTTCTTTACAAAAAAAAGATAAGTTGAATTGTATAGCACCGTATAAGATTAGAGAACAAAATATGATTAAGTTCATGTTTGGTTCAACTTATTAATTCAAATTAAGTCAACAATTAATTATAATAACATATTTTATGAAATTCACAACTTTTCAACAATACAAATCCAAAGCAAGTAGAGCAATCACCTAAAGCTTTATATTTAGGTATGATTTGTCCGCTAAGTAGAGATAACTATTATTTACTCCTATTAATATTTTATTCTTGAAAATGTGGCATGTTTGAGTCCTAGGGCCTGTTTGGTACAGATTTTCGTTTTCTACAGTAAATCAATTCTCATTTTCAACCACACATTCTTCAATAAAATAATATTTTCCATCACATCAATATTTTTTCTTCTTTTTCAACCACACATTTCCCATCATATCACTATTCAAAAATCAATTCTTCCCCCAAAAATCCCTACCAAACACACTCTAAAGCTAACAAAAATGAAGTGATGCTCTGTGCAAGTAAAATTTA